CATACCCAAAACATAATAATGCAAACACAAATTGATACCAACACATAAACATGATGTCTAATTAAAGACTTGAATTCTGATTTAAAACCCTTTGACACAAATTAACTAAGCCCAAAATCAGATTCATTTTTAACACGCCTTGGCCTGAGAATGAGTCCAAACTCGAACAAGGACAACTTTCAATAAGGACAAGATCCTTAGCTCGAGTCCGCAATTCAACTCAAAGGCCAGCCCTTTTACGTTTTATCTTCTTAAGCTATTAGCCCAAAGGAAACTTGTTCGAACTGCATACTAAGCATAACTAAACATGCTCAACATTTAGCCATGTAACAAATTTTAATAAATAAAACAAAACCTTCAACAATTTGACCAAAGGACAGCAGGACTCTCAAAATTAATGGTCATTTCAACCACAAGCGGATTCCAGGAATTAAGCAGACAGGACTAACAGATCCTGCATAAGAGTCCTATTACAAATTTGACGGGAATTTTAAAACAGACTAAGAAGGAAGCATGAAGAGTTAAAAATCAACAGAACCAAACTAACTAAAACTAAGAAGAAAACAAAACCTGACAGAAGGGAAAGTTCCCTGGCTACCCCCTTAGCATTTTAAACCCAATTTCAAGCATGAGATTAATACCCCAAAACAGTAATTATTCATATCAAATACGGAGGAAACAACTCACTACATTTAAACCTATTCAAAACCATTAGTGCAACAGTCCAACAGTCCAAAATTATTTACAACATGAAAATTTAACTAATCAATAGAGGCTAACTGAACTACATTGCATCAGACGAATGAACACATAAAAAATGAGAAGACAGCATGGCCTTTATTTCATCCCCAAATTGAGAGCTACATCATGAGAGGGCTAGGATTGATACCTGGATGTAGAAGAAACAAAGGAAAAAAGATGAAGGATCAGCAACTACAGAGCAGTAATCAGCAGTTTTGAACCAGTAATGAACCCAGAAAGTGAAGCAAAACAGTCTAGAAAATCAACTCCAAACCCAACAATGAACTGGAAGACCTCAAATAGACTTGATTTCAATTCATTTCAGCTATCAGCTACCTAAAAATTGTTTCAACACTAGGAGAAGTTTATGAAATCACCAACAGGACCCAATGAAACAGTATTTTCCTAAAAGTTTCCAGTCATTTGTTTTTGCAGGACTTTTAGTTCTTAGAATTCTTTTCTCTGTATTTCCCAGCTCTTGGAAATCATAGGTCTCTCTCTCTCTCTCTCTCTCTCTCTCTCTAAAGCAATAGGGCAAACTTCAATCCCCCCTTGCAAGGCAAGAATGCAATGCCTTTATAGGCAAGCAATTAGGGCAGCTCTGTAGATTTTATTTTTACCCCTTAGGTCCTTTTTTCATTCTTGTTTTAGCTTAGGAATCCTAAAATTCTGACTTGTTACTCAAGTTATACTACCAAAAGTCTAAAATTCAAAAAGAAACCCCCCACTAGAAGCTTCTAGGGACCCCTGTATTTACCCCTGAACCCACCTGGACCAACTAGGTTATGAGTCCCAACTGGGCTCAATGTCCAAATGGGCTCAAATTCAAGCTGAACAGGATTCTTTTCGAATGAGGTTCTGATTGACCTCAAAGCCAAATGGAAAAATGTGAAACCAAACAAATCAAAACATGAATAGGAAGCACTCAAACGAATTCAGGAGATTTACTTACACTAAAATGATCAACTACTAACCGCAAACAAATATGGCATTAACTGATTATTAGATTAAAATAAACCTAACTAAGCTGTGAGACCAAAATACTGGTTGATGGCTAATCAAACTAAATTATCACATTAAGCTGAACAAAGGCGGCAAACACAGGATTTTATCACATAAAAAAAAAATTAAGAAGAAAATCCGGAAAGAGTAGACCTGAGTCCAAGTCTTAATTTAGTCAGCAATTTGGTCGACTTCCATGGGTTTGTCCGGAGAAAAGAAGAAGAAAAGAATAAAAATAAATGAAAGAACCAAAGGAAAGAAAGGACTTACCGACTAAAGAACTCGAAAACAGATGAACTCCAACCTCCGATTTTGTCCCCCAAATAACATTACCCGCTTGCTCTTAGAAAGAATAGACGAGCAATGTTATCAAAGGACTAAAATCATTCTGGAATCCAAAGAAATGAGGCGAAAAGCCTGCTCGCACAGGTCCAGAACTTGGGCTCTTAGATTCAAGATTCGAGCAACTTCAGGGGGATTTTGGGGAGTGAAGTAGAGTTCTGTAATGAGGGGGAGAAAGGGATTCAGGGGTGTTGATTTGGTGGGGAAAGGTGGTGGCGCTGCCACCGGAGGATGGTGGAGAACCATGGCGGCGCTCTAGGGTTAGGATGTTTTTGCCATTTTTCAGTGGGATTTGAAGGGAACTGGTGGTGGCATGGGTATGAGGGAGGGGAGAGGAAGCCCTGGTGAATTTTTGGTGGCCATTGGAGACCCGCCGCCGCCGTAGGCGATTTCCGGCGGCGGCGGACGGCGGAGACGGTGGGGTTCTTTGGTGAGGTGAGAGAGACGACTGGATGGGGGGGGGGGGTCGCGTTTTGGACATTTATATATTGATTGATCCTAGCTTCTGGGCCGTTAGATTAACTAACCTCGACGGCTAGGATCAATTCAAGGTTAAACGGGGTCGTATTGTGACTGTGGGAGCCTGACCGGGTTAAGGGTGATTTGGGCTGTTTGGTCCGTTTGGGCGGGTATAGGGGATTTTTGACTTGGGCCAGCCCACATTCGGGTGTTTAAAATAAGAGACTCAATTTTCTTTTTAATTTCCTTTTCTCTTTCTTTCAAATTAAAACTAAAAACCTAAAGTAACTCTTAAAAAAAACTAAATTAACCTACCAAATTATATTAGGCTCTAATTAACAATCACACAATTAATTAAATACCAAACTAAGGAAAACTAACAAAAAAAATCAAGGCGAAAAATTAAGCAATATAAAAGTAAATCATTTTTTTTGTGATTTTTCTATTTTGTAAAACCCTAATTACTAATTAATCTAAAAAAATATGTAAAATTAAATCCTAAATGCAAATGCAATATATATTTTTGTATTTTCCATGCACACAAACATGAAAATTATGCAATTAAATCCTAAAAATCAAATAATTGAAGAAAAAATCCTAATTTTAAGAATCCTATAGGAGTAATTCACGCGAGGAAAAAATCACGTGCTCGCACCATCTAAATCAGTAATTGAGTTGGTTACTATTATATTGAGGAGTTGGGTTTACTAGTTGTCACATTGGTGCTTTCACTGGTTCGAGCTCCATGACTGGTTTTTCGAGTTTTTCACTTTCGGTAGATGTTCCGCCTTCTTCCTCTGCTGCTCAATCTAAGGAGATTTCATATCTAGCGGCTTCTGTCGATGAGCTTACTATGACGTTCGCCGGTCAGCAGAAGTTATTTCTCGATCTTATGACTCAGGTTGCGAACTCGTCGCTTTGCAAGGGTGTTGCTGATACTGCTCCAGCGATTCCAATTATGCGCCATAAGCCAGCTTCTACTGGATTTTCCCGTTTCGATGGTGATAACCCATAGGCTTGGGTTTTTCAAGCAGAGAGGTATTTTGACTTCTACCACATCGCGGAGGATCATAAATTGACATTAGCTTCATTTTACTTAGATGGAGAGGCATTGGAATGGTATCGTTGGTTGTTTCACAATAAGCAGCTCAGTGATTGGGATAGTTTCGCCATCAAGGTCTCGAGCCATTTTCGAAAACGTGCTCTTTTGTAACTGGAGGGACGCCTCTCTAAGCTCAAGCAGACATCGACGGTTGCTAAGTTTCAGGCCCAATCCGAGTCTCTGGCTAATGAGATGAATGATACGCAGGAGTCCTGGTTAGTCCCTATTTTTACGTCCGGCCTACGTTTGGACATCTAAAATGTTGTGTTGGCCCATCGGCCCACTACATTAGATGAAGCATTTGAGTTGGCTCAAATACACTAGCAAAGAGTTTTGGCTGAGCGGGGCGGGTCGCCTAAACCTGCTTTCCCTAGAACTCCACCGTTATTGCCTACCCCTAATTTAGTTCATAATGCTTCTGGTCTTCCAACCAATAGGCCACCCATTAAATGTCTCTCGCCGTCTGAAGCACAACAGCGCCGCGAGAAAGGTCTCTATTACCATTATGATGAGAAGTATGTTCCGGGTCACAAATGTAAGGCTCTTCCACAACTGCTCTTATTTGCAGAAGATGACAACGACCAAGGTCTTGGGGCTGATTTATATCCTATGGTTGAAGCTCTTGCCGATGAGTTACAACACTTAGAGGTCCTCCAACAATCTGCCATGTCTTATCACGCGTTGGCTAGCGGTAATTTGGCACCACCCTACGCTTTACCGGCCATATTCAAGGGTTCCCGGTACAAGTATTAGTTAGTGGCGGCAGTACCCACTATTTTATTCAGACTCGAGCAGTTAAATTTTTACATTTAAAGGTGGATCCTATCACACCCTTTCTAGTGGTAGTGGGCAATGGTCAGCGCCTCATTTGCGAAGGGGTGGTCCGACTGGTACCCTTACTCATTCAGGGGTGTCTCCTCTCTATGGACTTCTATGTCCTACCTATGCATGGGTCCGATTTGGTTCTTGGTGTATCGTGGTTAGCACATTGGGCCGAGTGGTGAAATATTATGGCCAACGTCTATTGGAATTTATTATAGATGGCCAACAATTTAGTTTGCAAGGTGAACTCCCTCTAGATATGCAGCCCGTGCAACTCCAAAGTTTGCGGTGCTTATGTGCTACTGATGCTGTTGTCACTTATTATCACTTGGAGATGCTTGGTGATTCTCCAACAATCCCTTTTGATCCCCCGCCAGCTTTTTCCGAGTTATTGGACTCTTATACAGATGTTTTTACCAAACCACATGGCCTTCTGCCAGCTTGATCACAGGACCATGCCATGCATTTAGCACCTGCATCGGGCCCTGTCAATGTAAAGCCGTATAGATAACCTTATTTTCAGAAGCAAGTCATGGAGAAATTGGTCAATGAGATGCTTGCTGAAGGCATTATACGACCTAGCACCAGCCCTTTTTCATCCCATGTCCTTCTTGTTCGCAAAAAAGATGGCTCGTGGCGTTTTTGTGTGGACTATCGATCACTCAATGCTATAACGATAAGAGATCATTTTCCCATTCCAACAATTGATTAGTTGTTTGACGAACTACATGGGGCAAAGTACTTCTCGAAGCTCAATTTATTATCCGGCTATCATCGGATCAGAGTTAGGCCTGAAGACATTGAGAAGACTGCTTTTCGCACTCATGAAGGACACTACGAGTTCTTAGTGATGCCTTTTGGGCTATCCAATGCTCCCTCAACATTCCAGGCTACTACGAACTCGATCTTTCGACCTTACTTGCGTCGCTTTGTGCTTGTTTTCTTTGATGACATCTTAGTTTATAGCCCAATGATGATAGACTATAATTGTGTATTTTAGTCGATTATTACACTCTATTCTAATTTACTGCACTTTAGTTGAGTTTGTGCTTTAATCGCTAGTGTTTTGCACTAAGTGTGTGTTTGATGCCTTGTAGGAGTGATTCCGAGCTATATAGATATTATGGAATGAATTCAAGTGATTTGGAGCTTTGAAGTCTGAGTAAAAGCCCAAGAAATTAAGCCCGGATCGTATTCGAGGATCAACGGATGATAGAACAACAAAACGAAGAATCGAATAGGCATATTGCGCACTGTCTAGTAAAATGCACATAACTTTTTGCTCAGAACTACATTTGGGCTCCACAATACATAGTTGGAAAGTTAACTCAAAGGGCTACAACTTTCGTGTTTTACGTTTTCCTAAATTCCAAAAGGAACAGGGTGAAAAACGCGGCTGAAACCGCGACCGCGGACCTGAGGCGGGCTGAGGCAGTATACTTGCCAAATACCGCGTTCGTACCGCGGTTGACCGCGGCCGCGGCTGTCCAGGCATGAAAAAATTATCCTTTTTCGCGTAGGAGAAGGTATAATAGTTTGGGCCCGACCCTACTTGGTATATATACATGGAAAAACGGTACTTTAAGAGGTTGGACACACTTTTGACATAAATTAGATCTAAGGAGGCTAAGGAGACCGGAGATTCGACCTAAGGAGGCAAGAACATAATAGGAGCAAGGCGGGGAATTCTTCTACGAGTTTTTCCTTCCTCTTCCTATCTTTTATAGTTGGTTATGACTTTTAGTATTGTAGTTTTACATACTATTATGAATAGCTAATTTGTTATCTAGAGTTTTGATAGAACCTTTTGTAGGATGAATTCTTGTTATATTTTTATATAATTAAGCCGTTGGATCTCTCTACTTATTCAACTACGTGTTTGTTGTTGTTGATTGAATGGCCATCAATTGACTGTGCCTATTTAGTGTGTACTGCTCGAGAGAGAGTACATATTTAGGTAGTTGTTGAACAACGTCACTCCTAACGTATGTGAGAAATCAATACATTAGGTTTAAAGGTAGGTTTAGAAATAACAAAGCCTTGACGTGGTCATAGTGAGCGGTTAGATGAAGCCAACTAGCGTAGTTTGAGAGAATATGTCTAGTAAATTATTGTAGTTGCTCGAGAGAGAATTACGGCACCTAAAGTGCTCACGATCAGTAGAGAATACATCGGCGAAATTGTAGGGAACATAGCTGTAAGGATTCCGACAATTGGGGAAATCATAACTCTAGATCTCCTTAATTTAGTCTCCAATCCTTTGTCTCGTTAGTTGATAATTTTACCGCTTTATAGTATTTGCTAGTTAATTAGTTAGAAATATAAATCTCAATCTTTATAATTTAGGAAATTGTTCAAACTTGTCTTCTTAGTGATATTAAACAGATATATCTAAGCCTTAGTTCTCTGTGGGATTCGACTCCGAACTTTTAGACTGGATTATATTTGCAGCGACCGCTTATCCTTTTTAGGACTAGAGTTGGGCGTGATCAAATTTTGGCATCGTTGCCGGGGAACTAAATGTAGTTGTAGCTGTATATATTGCTAGGGTTCAAGTTTGAACTTTTATTTTGTTTTGTTTTTTTGTTTTTTTATAACTGTTGATTGGAGAAACATGACATCTTGGAATTATGGAAATTTAGGCGTAGATAATTCTACTATTGATACTCATACATATTGTGAAGGAAACCACCCGTATCAAAATTATCAAATATTCCCGAGAGCGAGTTATGTGCACCAACTCAATCGTATTTGTGGAATGTGTGTGATGTGTGTGGTGGTAAAAATGGTCACTTTAGTGATTGTGCTTATATTTCTTATCTCCCCCAACCCCTTATTATGATGGTTCTACCTTTTCTTTTGAAGTTAATAGGAACAAAGAACCTGGGGATGCAGAACTGAAGGAGATCAAGGATATGTTAAAGTGCCTTCTGAAACAAAATAATGAAAAACAATTGCAGATAGAAAGGCAAGAGGCAACTATTCGTAAGTTGGAGACTCAATTGAGTCAAGTGGTTGGAGCTTTTAATGCTCAACAAGCCAATATTGATGATAGTAGCCAAGAAGAGCATGAATTTGAGGTGTTAATTGGGGAGGTTAGAGTAGAACATCAACAACCTAGCCAACTACAATTTGAGGATGTCAATGTTGAAGAAGTGAGACTAGAGTCAGCCAATGACATTGAGGATACAAATTTTGTTGACTCTAGTATCATTGATGTTGAGGATGCTGAAAGTCCTGAAGTTCATGCGTGTGAGCGCATTGGTCCTCACTCCAAACATTTTTCTACATTGTACTTGGATGACGATATGAAAATAGAGTCATCCGAGCCGATTGAGAAGTCAAGGAATGAGGAACAAGGTGCCTACATTCTGGAATTTTTCTTGCCAGAAAGACAGGACTACATACCTCATCTAAAAGCCAAGAAGTGTAGAATAGTACAATGGTTGCTTGAGCCAATTAGATTTGTTCCTCCACCCCTGGAGCATAGACGAAAACTTGATGCCAAATTGGGGGTTCAATTCATAAGCTCGAGGTGGAGGCAAAAAGTGATTCGCGTCGTGCCGCGACGTTAAATCAAGTGCTTGTTGGGAGACAAACCAGCTTTATTGCTTTCTTTTATTTATTTTTTATTTTTTTTAATTGTATTATTTTTGTAGTGTCAATTTTTTATTTTCTAGGAGCATGGAAAGTAAAAGTATTGGAAGGATGAAACAACAAACCAAATGGTTGGAACTAAGTGTGAGGTACCCGCACGAAGGACCAAGCTTCAGAGAAGTCTGAGTACCCCATGAGTTGTTAGTGCTTCGGCCTTTGGCCTACCAGGGAGTCTCTCTTACCCTCTTATAGTTATGCTGTGCATTGGAGATAATGCACAATTTTAAGTGTGGGGTGAGAAGATTGTCTGGGTGACTTTTTATGCTACTTTAGCTGTGTTAGTTTAATTAAATAGTATTCTTTTATAAGATTGGACTTTTCCTGACGATGGATCTATTAGACAATTTTCTTGAGGGATTTAAGTCTAAAAAAAAAAAAGATTTTCTTTTGTTAGGTAGTGTAGCAATTACCCCTTGGTTTTTCTTTAAACCACGGTTCTTTTCCAAGGGTTTTGTTTGAACCGGTGTAGTTAGATTTTTTTTGGGAGTAGGAGCTATTGTGTCGTATTTTGAATTGAAGCAATATCTCTTGACTTTGTTATGCCTTGAGAATAGTGAGTACTTTGGTTGTGACGCTTAGGCTCAATTTTTGACTCTTGTATAAGTACCTTAAATTTTATGAGCTTAAATTTGCTTAACTGCTTTGACTAGAGTGTCTTGATGAAACCAATCCTGAGTGAGTTATGTGCCATGTGTGTGTAAGGTTTTGTGTTATTCAGTGCATTGCATTTGATGTCTAGAACTTGCCCCGTGTGTTTGCAAAGCGAAATAGTAGTTTTATTCAGTCTTGGAAGTGATATAGGCGTTTCTTTGTTGAGCCAGATATGTATATTTTACCCGCCTAATTGTTATGTATCGTAGTTAACCCTTTTGAGCCTGTAATCCTGTTTCTTTGGCAACCACATTACAAGCCTTACCCATTTGTTTGAACTAACTATCTAGGTGAACCATTGTAACCTCTCATGAGCACTTGAATTGTTTATGAACTTTGTAAAAGTCAAAGTGTCGGGTGGTTGGTTTGGCTTTTGAGTGGAACTAATGAAATAAGGATAAAGGTGCACTATTTTGAAAAAGTAAGAGCCACATGAATTAGAAAAAAGGAAAAAAATGTTGTATTGTTGTGGAAAAAAAATTCCTTGATAAGTGGTGACTCTTGATGTAATTGTACTTGTGCTTAAAGAAGTATGGGGTAAAATACATTGTTGTGAAGGCGGAGCTTTGGTTTGACATAAGTATTGGGCTTGAATGTTAAAGTATATGTATTAAAGTGCTTAGGGAGGTGTAGTCACTCTTATATCTAAATTTATCCTACCCGTCCCGCAACCTACATTACAACCAAATAAAGTCCTACTTGATCCTAGACGAATGACCTCGATTAGTAGAGTAATACACTACGGGCAAGCCTATGGTGCATCTTTTGTGGCATATGAATGTTATTTCTGAGAATGAGTGAATTCTTTCTATCTTGAGTTCCTAAGTGTTCTTAAATTTTATTGTGTGGAACTACTCTCTTTTGTTGTGTGAGGGCACTTGATTCATGAAGGAAAGGTAATGTCAGTGACCTCTATGTTAGGGTAAGTAGGTGAGTTGTGAATAATGCGTGGTACTTGTGAGTCAAATTTTGAGGTGAAGATGTTACGCTTTTGTGCTTAGTCTATTTTAAATATTCTTGGTGTGATGCATTAGGAGAATTGTTCAAAAAGGTCGTGTCTATATAAGGTGTAGTTTGATTGTTCGAGGAAGAGCAATGGTTAAAGTGTGGCGTGTTGATGATAGACTATAATTACGTATTTTAGTCAATTATTACACTCTAATTTACTGCACTTTAGTTGAGTTTGCGCTTTAATCGCTAGTATTTTGCACTAAGTGTGTGTTTTATGCCTTGTAGGAGTGATTCCGAGCTATATGGATGTTATGGAATAGATTCAAGTGATTTGGAGCTTTGAAGTCTGAGTAAAAGCCCAAGGAATTAAGCCGGGATCGTATTCGGGGATCAACGGATGATAGAACAACAAAACGAAGAATCGAATAGGCATATTGCGCACTGTCTAGTAAAATGCACATAACGTTTTGCTCAGAATTCCATTTGGGCTCCACAATATATGGTTGGAAAGTTAACTCAAAGAGCTACAACTTTCATGTTTTAAGGTTTTCCAAATTCTAAACAGAACAGGGTGAAAAATGCGGTCGAAACCGTGATCGCGGATCTGAGGCGGGCTGAGGCAGTATACTTGCCAAATACCGCGGTCGTACCGCGGCCGCGGCTGTCCAGACGTGAAAAAATTGTCCTTTTTCACGTAGGAGAAGGTATAATAGTTTGGGCCTGACCCTACTTGGTATATATACATGGAAAAACGGTATTTTAAGAGGTTGGACACACTTTTGACATAAATCAAACCCAAGGAGGCTAAGGAGACCGGAGATTCGACCTAAGGAGGCAAGAACACAATAGGAGCAAGGTGGGGAATTCTTCTACGAGTTTTTCCTTCCTCTTCCTATCTTTTATTGTTGGTTATGAGTTTTAGTATTGTAGTTTTACATACAATTATGAATAGCTAATTTTTTATCTAGAGTTTTGATAGAACCTTTTGTAGGATGAATTCTTGTTATATTTTTATATAATTAAGCCGTTGGATCTCTCTACTTGTTCAACTACGTGTTTGTTGTTGTTGATTGAATGACCATCAATTGACTGTGCCTATTTAGTGTGTACTGCTCGAGAGAGAGTACATATTTAGGTAGTTGTTGAACAACGTCACTCCTAACGTATGTGAGAAATCAATACATTGGGTTTAAAGGTAGGTTTAGAAATAACAAAGCCTTGACGTGGTCATAGTGAGCGCTTAGATGAAGCCAACTAGCGTAGTTCGAGAGAATATGTCTAGTAAATTATTGTAGTTGCTCGAGAGAGAATTACGGCACCTAAAGTGCTCACGATCAGTAGAGAATACATCGGCGAAATTGTAGGGAACATAGTTGTAAGGATTCCGACAATTGGGGAAATCATAACTCTAGATCTCCTTAATTTAGTCTCCAACCCTTTGTCTCGTTAGTTGATAATTTTACCGCTTTGTAGTATTTGCTAGTTAATTAGTTAGAAATATAAATCTCAATCTTTATAATTTAGGAAATTGTTCAAACTTGTCTTCTTAGTGATATTAAACAGATATAGCTAAGCCTTAGTTCTTTGTGGGATTCGACTCTGAACTTTTAGACCGGATTATATTTGTAGCGACCGCTTATCCTTTTTAGAACTAGAGTTGGGCTTGATCACCCAACCTGGGACCTTCACATGGAGCATCTGACTAAGGTGCTCAATTTGTTACGACAACATCAGTTGGTTGCCAAAATGTCCAAATGTACGTTTGGCTAGGAACGAGTGGATTATTTGGGCCATGTTCTGTCGCAGCAAGGCCTATCGGTGGACCCTGCTAAAATTGCTACTATACAACAATGGCTTGTACCACGGAACGTGAGGGAAGTACGCAGTTTTCTTGGGCTCGCTGGATATTATCGGCGGTTCATTCGTCACTACACCATGATTGCCAGTCCTTTGACTGATCTTCTCCGACATGACTCATATTCTTGGACAGCTCAAGCTCAAAAGGCCTTCGAGAATTTGAAGGAATGTCTCAGCTCCACACCAGTGTTGGCACTTCTTGATTTTTCTCAACCCTACCAAGTTGCAACTGATGCTTCTGGAATAGGCATCGGAGCGGTATTGTCGCAGAAAGGTCATCCAGTTGCCTACTACAGCCAAAAGATATGCCCTAGGATGCAGCGCGCATTTACTTATGTTCGTGAAATGTTTTCTATCACCCAAGCAATTGGGAAGTGGCGTCAATATACCCGGACGTCGTTTTATTATCATCACTGATCGACAAGCGTTAAAGAATCTTACTAACCAGTATACAAACTCCGGAGAAGGAGAAATAGTTGGGGAAATTAGTGGGTTTTGATTTTGTTATCGTGTATAGGCCAGGAAAACATAATCTCGCAGCTGATGCTCTATCTCGATTACCTACTGCCTCATTCATGGGCTTATCCAGTTAGTCATTTCGTTTGTTTGAGCAACTGAAGGAGTTGAATGAGGTCCATCCTGAATTACTTGCTATCCACCAAGGGTTGCAAAATGATGCTAATAATTTCCTGACTATTAGCTCCAAGATGAGATGTTTTTTTTAAGGTTCGCATTGTTCTCCCTTCAGATTCTCCATTGCGACTGCATTTGCTTCAGGAGTTCCATTCCTCGCCCTTGGGGGGACATTCCTGTATTGCGCGCACCTTCTACCGGCTGTCCTCGAACTTCTTCTGGAAAAATATGCGTCATGATGTCAAGACCTTCATATCTTCTTGCCCCACCTGCCAGCAGATGAAGGATGTTCACCATCATCCCGCCGGGCTGCTTCAATCATTATCTATTCCAAAGCAGGTGTTCGAAGAGATCACAATGGATTTTATCACTTTTCTTCCTCCATCACGAGGCAAGACCACTATCTTGACTGTGGTTCATAGACTCTCCAAGTACGCCCACTTCATTCCCTTACCAGCCACCGTTTCTGCCATCACTGTAGCAGAAGCATTTGTTGCTAATATTCTTAAGTTACATGGCCCTCCTATATCCAACGTCACAGATTGTGATCCTCATTTCTTGCACTCTTTCTAGCAAGAGCTCCATCGTCTTCAGGGTACTACTTTGGCTATGAGCACAACCTATCATCCTCAAACGGATGGGCAGTCTGAGGCTCTCAATAAAGATGTAGAACAATACCTTCTGTGTTATGTGGCTGATTCTCCAAAATATTGGGTAGGCATGCTGCCTTGGGCAGAATACTGGTATAACACTTCATTCCAGACTTCAGCGGGGATGACACCTTTTCAAGCGCTATATGGTCGTGACCCTCCAACTCTCGCTCGCTATACTCAACATAGCAGTTCTCATGAGCTTGTTGAGGTATACTTCCTTCATAGAGATGAGGTTCTGGAGAACCTTAAGGGGAATTTGTTACAGGCCCAACGTCGTATGAAAAAGTTTGCTGATCGCAAGAGGACTGAGGTCACATTGCAAGTCAGGAATTGGGCTTATGTTAAGCTTCAGCCATACCATTAGCATTCGCTGCATCTTTAGACGCCGCACAAGCTGAACGCAAATACTTTGGGCCCTTTAAGGTTTTGAAATAGATTGGACCTGTTGCGTACGTTGGAATTGCCGGCTGCTGCACAGATTCATCCTGTGTTTCATATTTCAGTGCTTAAGAGATGTGTGGGATCCCCAGATCAACATGTCACGCCACTGCATTTATGTGATACTACCCCATCACAGGATCCGAACCTTGAGGACAAGGTTCTTTTCGGGGACGGAGGTAATGTTATGAACACTTCCGATGCTAATCAACTATCCTAGTAAGCAGCCACGTCATGGATCCTCAAGGAACTGGAAACGTGAGGCGCAGCACGAGAATTCGCAAAACGCCAATAGCTCTAACTGATTTTGTTTGGCAGACTGGGCAGAGAATGCGTGAGCAGGAGCAAATCTAGAAGAGCAACAACTATAAATAAGAAAGTAGTAGTTGAAATAGGATAGACTAAAATCATGAGTGATCTCTGATTTCCTCTCATCCCCCTTCTGTATCTGTTCTTCTCATCTCCCTTCTGGTCTATATCTTTAGATACTAATTGGTCTCAGTAATTCCTATTGTAATTCCATTACTGAATATTGAGTTTGCCATCTAAATAAGTAATTGAGTTGGTTACTGTCATATTGAGGAGTTGGGTTTACTAGTTGTCACAATGTGTATGATTGATTGTAAGTTTTGGAGTATATTTGAATGAGAATGATTTGAGTACCTTTTTCTGATGGATTATCATAAGCAGCGGAAGCAATCCCAGTATCAAAATCACTTGTAATCTAGGCAACTAGTATAAACGGGATTTCACGGGTTACCTCTTGAAGCGTGAACAAAGTTCCTCTATCACGTGAGCCTCCAGTTCCACAGCAACTCAATAAAATCTCAACCACCCTTACGATCACGATCTTCTAACGTTCCACGGTCTTCTACTGTGTTACCCGAATAATATCCGAAAATAGTAATTTCGTGTGGGCAAAATTTTCTAGGAAGAAGGGGCTGAAATTCGGCCACCATCTACTCCTCTCTCTAGGTGGAAAACCTTATGTATTTATAGCACAACTTTTAAGGGTTAAAACCCTTTTCAAAAACCTGTTGGATTTTCTTTTCCACCAGAAAAAGGATTTCTTTATTTCCTGTTATTTAGGCACAGTAGGGACCACAAAATTTAATTAACAAGGCTTCCAATTATGAAATTAATATGTAATTTTCGAAATTAATATCCACCATAATTAATTACGAATTATTCCACTAAAAATTCGTAATTGCACTCCTTATTCAATTTCGAAATTCATCCATTAAATCTTATTTAACTCCCCATGTTAAGATTCAGATATTAATCAATTAAATTAAATTACTGACGATTTAATTTATTGATTATTTCCTTTAGACTTTTGCTTAACTTATTTCATGTGTCGGATACAAAATCCTCCGGCCGGATTTACATATGAGAACTTCTAAGCTTTCATAAACGCGTATCATCAATCTCTAAATCGAGACATGGATTCCATCAACTAACTATTACTTCGCCAATGTATATTATTATTATCCAATTTACCAAGCATATTGACCCACGAAAGAATCTCGCTTTTTAATAAATCAAAACAATAATAATATACACAACTAATAATAATTATATTGTTATAAATAGAATTTTATTCATGGTGAATATCTATATTTTAGATAGATTTTAGGGTTTATACTTTGTGGCTAAGTTACCCTCTCCCAATAAATAGAGGGTTCTATTCCATGGTAATTCATCCCAAAAAGCAATAAGGATTCTCTCTCCCTACTTTTCTCTGCAATACTCTACTTCTTTTATTATTTCATAACACGTTATCAGCACGATACTCTAACCAATTGAGTCGAAGCTTTGGGATTGAGCATAATGACTGTCAATTGTTCCATGAACTTCCTTCATGAATAAATTCTGGATTTAAGGTATGCATTTTATCGTATTTTTGTCTTTTATTCTATAATATGATTTTAAATACAAGCAAAGACAATAAATTTTAATTATAACTCTAATGGAGTTAGTAAGAAATTATAACCACTCGAAGTGGTAAAATTTCTATGTCTTGCCATGATCAAAGTTATGTATGATCGTGAGCACAAGAAGTGAAAACCTGTCCCATTGAATTTGCTTCATTCCCATTCCCTTAAGAGAATGTGATAGCACTATGTGATAAGTCTGAAAGAAGACAAAATTATTACCGTAAAGGTATCAATGGATGTGAACATGGCAATAGACGAAATTATAATCGTCATCAATGTGATAATGAGAATAATAACGATTCTCAAAATAATCCTTCACTCTGTGAAAGTAATATTTGTCATCGATTTGACATGAGAATTTATAAATTACGTATAGATGATTATGGTCCATTCATGATGTGAATGTTGACAACATCTGATTTATGAATACATATTAGTTCTTGGAAGAATGTGAATGTGCTAGTAGTAGTGAATATACCACACTCACTTCTAGAAGGAGGTTTGAGATTATATAAGAAAATAATGTCATTATTATGGCATGAATGGTCATTCGTCACGTACCTATTATATGCCAAAATATTATGGCAATTGTGATTATTACAGGGTAAAAGTAATAGAAGCAGCATATCTTGCTTATAATGATTTTGACCATGACCATAATGATATAACTTTCTCTTTAAAAGAGATATTCACCATATGGATGTTGATGAATATGTGGTAGTACCAAATTAATTGATAGCTCTGGAAGAGCTAATTATTACTATTTTGGAGAAATATAATTGATTATCGATAAGGCATTGTGTGTAGTAAGTCTCAAAGAAACTTAATTGAGTTTCTAATGTATTCGCAAAAGCGGTTGGTCATACTGAGACTATAAATAAAGGAAAGATTTAATATCTTCTATTACTACAACTTGTAGCGGGATAATATGTATGTGAAAAGCTACCCGCTTTATTCTCCAGTTTGTACTACACAAATAAAAGAATACCACAATAAAGTGGATGTTCATTGATATAAAAATCCATATCATAATAAACTCGGAGTTTATTGATAATTGCACAAGTCATGGTGTAAATATAAAGTTTATCAATATTGATAATTTATTTAGTTGGCATAATTGGTTTAGCCATATCAATTTAAGTATGATGTGAAAAAAAAAATAGAGAATTCACATGGATAAATATTAAAGAACTAGAAAGTTCTTTACGAATTCTCTTATGTTGCTTGTTCTTATTAATTAATAGACCAACTAAAATTGGGATTGAATTCCATGAATCCTGGAAATATCAAAGGTGAATATGGGCTCATTCACCTGCCATGTATACCACATACGATGCATTAATGAGATGATTACATGTGCGATTATTATTAACCCGCAATATGGAATTTGCGAGGTAACTTGCTCAATAATTTGATTTAAAGCATAATTTTCATATTTTTTATTCAAGATAGTTTATCTTGATAAGTTGGTTTACATCACAACTGGTTTAGCAAAATAATTTATTGAGTGCCTCCACTTAATAGCTAAACAATTGCTTATGAGAACAAAGTTATCTATATCAATATGATATACGTTATATACCAAAGTATATTATTTTCTCCCCTCACAAGTGTTCGGGGCCAGGAACCAAATAATTTCATCTTATTATTATTGATGTGCGGTGTATATTTTGATTAACACCATAACACACAAAGGTGAGTTTCCAAAATTGAGGAAGAAAGTTAGTTTTTCTAACATGAGGGGGAGACATGATAAACAGTTGAGAAAACGTTATGTGGAATGAATTATCATTTGTACATTTAGACCCTCGGATAAGATAATATGAACTTAAAGTTCATAAAAAGATAGTTCATCCGCAATATATTGCAAAGCATGCTAGACGCATTTGCTGACCCAAAGAAAGTAACTCTATTCTCAATGCGAATGCTCCTATTAGAATATGTCCTAGAAGGACCAAGTATATGGTACGGTTAAAGCGTATAGACAAATCGGTATCAAATAAACTTCTTGATAAAGAAGATGAGCAAATGATCAAAATGATCATAATAAAAGAGGCAAGTGATCTAGAAGATCACATGACATAACACGTCATAAAATCTCATGAGAGATTTAGGTACCTGAATATATGAATGAAGAGATCTCTATGTTTATGTATTTATGAAAAATAAGGAGGTTGGAACCGATATAAAGTGTTCGCCGACGACATCTATGATAGAGCTAAGTATAGATGAGGACCTCAAGTATGTCGAATACAGACACAAAAATATTGGCCAAATGGAAGAGACACAATTCAAATAGAATTGGTTTCATATGAAAGACATGTAGTTTTGAACATGTAGTTCAAAGACTTGAAAGTATAAAGTCAATGGCGTGTGCAATCAGTTTTCGATATCTTATTTGTCTAGCATTACATGAAAACTTGATATACATCTAATTAAAGTCTATTATATGACTTAACTTATATGACAATCCATGAAGGATTTAAATCGCTTGAAGCATATATAATTCTTGGTCCCGAAGTACCATATGATACGTGTAATTTATACATATATGTATCTTGCTATAACTATAAGCATGATAATGTGATAGCGGAAATTTTTACCTCTATGGAGATATTGAAAAGGTTATTCCACGACATTATATGAAGAGATTACATATATACAAGAATGGTGATTTCAAGGTGTAACATATTCATTCAAGTTATCATATAGCTGATTTTTTCACCAAATCTCAACCGACTTCAACCTTCAAGAAGCTAGTGTACAAGATTGGGATGCGAAGACTCAAAGATGTGAATTGATGCTCTCATCAGGGGGAGTTAATGCGCGTTGCACTCTTTTTTCCTTACGAGATTTTGTCCCATTGGGTTTTCGTTGCAAGGTTTTTAACGAGGCAACCAAAAGGCGTATTGTTAGATATGTGTACTCTTTTTCCTTCTCTAGAATTTTTTTCCTAGGTTTTATTTTAGTTAAGGTTTTAATGAGGCAC